AAATAAGAGGTTGGTCGATCGTCTGAAAACTTTTCGCAATACCACTGTTTCGCGGGTGCATCTATGTATATTGTTCGACGTGTTAGGTTCGGGCGTGCGCCTCGCAACGGTGAAGTGGATGCTACGAAGGAGACTATAAAGGTCAAGAAGTTAAGTACAGTCGAACCCCCAGCGGCCACCTATTGAACGGCCACCCCTATTAGGCGTCCAGCAATCCAAGTCCCAAAGATGGCTTTTCTATTGTTTCTTCCTCCATTAAGCGGCCAACCCCTTTTAAGCGACCACAGTCCATTTCCTCGAGGATGGCCGTTTAACAGGGGTTCGACTGTATCTGTCAACCTTGTCTTACGGCATTGATACATAGGTTTTAAATAACCTTTCTGCTGTGAACATACAATCCGCAGAAAAGATCTTTGTGAGAATTTACTGTTAGAATCATTATTTTGATTTCAGGATTACAACAACAACACATTTATTTATTACTCATACATTTACAATTTCACAAAGATATGTACACTTTACACTTTATTATTAAAAATAATTAAGTGAAAAAACTTGGCTATGACAACAGCGAGAACCCGCAGGTGGTCTAGGGCTAAACTAGGTGGGCCACATCTACATTTATGAGGAAGGAAGCATTGGTATTACTTATTGTAGTTTTCCCTCTTTAAGAAGTTAGTGTTTTGTTTCACAGAAAAAGCAATTCCATATTGCGCAAAGGTTAGTTCGATTAACCCTTAGCAATCATCATCCACTTTTGAAGTTCATGAGTTTGCTCACAGAGCGCTTTGATTATACAAATATTTGTTTACTTTCCGCGTATTTGCATTCCTTTCTAAATAATCTTAATTAAGAAACAGATGTACGTCATTTGAGATCATTGTTTAGCTTCTTTTTTAAATTCTCTCTTCTTAAAATGGGCCTGTTTGGTCTTCTGGAACTGGCAGGTGGTTGGGGGTAGGACCTGCTGAGGGTAGGAGGTCCGATGGGGGCTCTGGAGACGGAAATTTGGTTGTTGGGGCTCAAAGATGTGCAGCGAAACGAGGATATGGATTATACTATAGTTATGGAGAAATCTGATTGGTTGATTTTAGATATGGGTCCTCTAACCTTCAAAACGAGTCTCGATGCAAAACCTTTCATATTGAAATGAGTTTTTCTTGCACGTTCATTGTCTTGCCAGAAGCCAAATGTGGTATCTGAAGGCAAGGTAATATGACACTTATAAATGAGCCAGATTGGTGTGTGTGTCTTTAAATTGGGAGAAGGGACAGTGGGAAAATCAAACTTATTAGGCACACATTATAAATGAAACAAATTGGACCTAATGTAAATTAA